TAGAACGAAGTTGTCAACTTCGTAAGACTCCACCAGTGTTGCATGGTGCATAAAGGCGTCCAAGAACTTGGCAGCGACACAAGAAACTTCCTGCAGCCCAGTCTCAACGTACGTACGCAAGCGTCGATTATCAAAGAGTTGACGATAATAGGGTCTGTCACCGATTGGTTGCGAGCGTGAAGTTTTCTCCTACATGCGGTCTTCAGCATTGTGATTTGATGATGAAGGATAGTTCACATACCTCGACGGAAGCCCCTTCACCTCATCTTCCAGAATCATGCCACAGGTTTGCAAATATGTTCGGTCGCAGCCGTAAAGGAGAAGACATGTCGCGAGTGACTGTCTGATAACTTGAAGCCTAAACCAAAATAAGTACATCGTCAGGTCTGAAATGATATCAGGGAGCAACTCACACGTCCTCGACGCGATGGTAAGCTTGAAGGTACTGAACAAGTTGTGGCCCAATCCCTGTATGGATAGCCGCGATTACGGTCTGAAGATCTTGACGTCCCATTGACTTCAACCACGTCGACCATAGCGCTGCCTTGATCAAGAGTGTGCAGACTTCTAAAGAAACGCCGAACTTGTTTCCAAGATTCACAAGCTGCATAAATGTCTGGCCCGAGATTTCAACCCCTGACCGGACGAAGAGACAGAGCCAATGTAGTGTCATGTCGTAGCCCTCGTACGACTTGTTCGCGATATCGACAATGATTTTGAGGGGATTAGTGGTCAGCATACTCGGTGTCTCTGACATGGACAGCCGAGGCTCGATCACGCTCGCGCTGAATCGTTGAGAAGCTGTGTCAAGCTCTCTATTGAATAAGCGTGACAGCGAGGCGAGCGGCTGAACAAGGGTCAGTTGAAGTATGAAGGCAAACATCCATTACACTCACTTGCTGCTTGTCGACATCTAGAGAAGAGGCACGTTCCAACCATTTTTGGAAGAGGTCGTCGAACGAGGTGAAGAGGACTGATGCTTGGCTCAGCTTCAGAATAAGCAGGAGAATCTTCTCGGTTATGATTGCTTCCTTCCTTTGGTCGCCTCCGTATCCTTTACCGAGAAAGAAGTCGTCACCTACTGGAAGCTCATTTGCCTGTTCGACGAGCAAATCGAAGACTATGACGGAGTAGTTGTTGATATCCTGGTCGTGAAGCGCTAAAAGCCACCTGGCAGCATAACGCGTTGACAATGATCGCCTTCCAGCGATGTAATCTCCTCCGTTGTTGGCTGAGCCCGCCCCAGCAGGTCGCGACTGGGTTGACTGAGGCCAAGGTTGCTCCCCCGCGCCAGAACGCACACCCGGAAGACTGAGACCGCGTGCAACGTAGTCTCGTAGCATGGTGGCGAGGTCGTCATCCTACATAGGCATTAGAGGGGCTAATCAATGATTGAGCGCAGTGCTCACCTCGGACAAGACCCATGCAAGTACGGTCTTGGTCAAGCGCCTCAAAGCGTACTCGGTGAGCATGCCATCGGGCCAGAACCTCCGCACTAGCAACAGAAGGCCCGTCTCGTTGACCGAAAGGTTAATATCCTGGAGACATGCCTCGATCGCAGATACAAGTGTTTCAACCTCTGTGGAGACCTCCAGTCCCATGGGAATAGGGAAAGAGCATAACAAACGTTCTGGATGAGGGCTACCGTCGAAGAGTCGCCCATGAGAGTCTACGCGCTGGAAAAAGCCAAGATGGAAAAGGTGGGTCAGCAGGTACTTGGCGGTGGCTTCTGAGCGGAGATCGAGTTGATCCCCGAGCTGGTCTCGGAGATGTGCCAGAGTAGCGACCTCGAAGGGGTATGAGCTGTCTTCGAGCGAACCATCTCTATCTTGTGGTCCGTTGGGGGTTAACAGGAAGTCTCCAGAAGGCATCGGGTCGAGGGTTGTAGGCGGCGTCTTGACGATACTGGTTACGAAGGCAAGGACGTTCCAATTGAAGAAGATGTGAGCTTCTGGCTCAGAGGCGCGGATGTTATTTTCGATGAAGTGGTCGGAAAGAGCGGGCGACACCGCGGGAGTACGCGACCGAAGATATGCTTCCAAGAGATCCACCAGGTAATGCAGCTCGAATTCGTCCAACTTGCCTTCGTCAAATGATGGGTTGTCCTGTTGTACCACCATGGAACCTAGTGCCAATCCGTTGTTGAGGATCTGCTGCTGGATCCAGAGCACCGACAAAATGACGGAAAGCTCTTCGAATGTTCGAAGAGGAAGGTCGGCCTCGGTGAGGAAGATCTCGCGGTAGTGGTCTGCGAAGGATTGTCGGAGCTCCCTCCACGAGATTGTCATGTATGTGTCGTCGATGGTGGCCGACCTGCAGCGCACGAGCTCTCCAGACGAGGCCCAGGTCAGACACGACGAATGAACGAATTGCTTGCAAGCGCCGCACTTCATTGCCTGAGCAATCGACCCCCATAATGGTTTCTTGCAGATGAAGCATAGCGTCAAACTGAACAAGTTGACAGGGCGGAAAGCGTGGTTCTCCTTGAGTACAACCTCGGCGCCGTGTGAATGTCGGTGGGCCAGGATATGGGAGAAACGGTGCACGGCGACCTTCTGGAGGCTTGGATCCGCGGCGACGCTGTATTGTGTGAAGAAGCTCCCGTCGGGGTAGTCATAGCAGTCAAAGTGGACCATGCACAAGCACAATGAACAGAGCAGACCAAAGCCCTCGATGACGTTCGAGCAACAATGACAGTCGTGTTGCGATATGCCGGCGAATATATTCGGCCCAACTGGACGGGCAAAACGCCAGGGGACGAACTGGTGTGCGTATGGGTGCGTGTTCTGTCTTCGGGCAATAGTGACCCCTTGCGTTTCGCGAGCGATCGCGTCTTGGTAGCTGATGGTGGGAAAGGGCTTGCTGACCGTCAGGTGTCCGATCGACTGCGGCCAGTAGGAGAGAAGGAGGCTGATAGCAGTATAACGCGAGCGAGGTGTGTGGTATGCAATGACTGCGAGGACGTCGAGGTACGCGTCAGGCTTGCTTTCGGCGATACTACTGAAGAGCCTATGGAACCTGTGCAGTACAGACGAGTTGGCGGACGCCAAGTCGATGCCTTCCAGAATTGCGGCGAGCACAGTGGGGATCACCGAAGAAAGGTGGTAGATGGCAATGTCTTGCAAAGGTGCAGACGTGGACCGCAGCGCAACGTCTTCGGGCGACAAAGCCTGAGTCCATCGTCGCCACGACGGCCCTGTTGGAGTAGAGACTCGTTCTTCCTTCACTTCGTCCACCAGGATAGAAACCATAGGCGGATCGTTGGACGGGTCGTTGTATGCCCCATCTAAGAAAAACTCAGCCTCGTGACACTCCTCACATAGCAAGACTTCGCACCTGCCGGAGGCGATGTCAACTGGCGTGTCCCCTGCAGGTTCCTCAAGTCTGCTAATAACGTGCCGACGATGCCTTCGTCAATGAATGCGAGCAGCCGCGTTTGCATCTCAAGTCCAAAGGTCAAGAAGGCCGGGAGCAGAGCGAATCCGATCTGCATTACGACTCGTGGGTCGTGGCGATGAGTGTATAAGAGGAACCGCGCGACGTCTAGCGAAATGAACTGGAGGGCGTTGGGTGGGAGGGAGGGGCGAGGAGAAGAGATTTTGTAGCGGCAGTCTTCGGCAATGATGGACGCGAGGATTGAGATACATTGAGACAGAAGCTCTGGTGCGCGGACAGCCTCTGAGTCCCCAGGGTCCGCCGATGGAGAACGCGAACGTGAATTTCGACCGACGGACAAGCTTCTCCGGCGTCGAAAAGCATCTTTCAGCCTGTCGCTATTGCTCCTTTGGGTCTGTGTGTTGCTAGGGAAATGGTTAGCGTCTCACACAAAAACGCTTAGCAAGTTGTACAGACCTGTCATAAAAGATATCCCAGTTGTGCGCGATCGACAGCATGAGCACGTCTTTGAGCTGATTCATGAGGTCTACTGTGGTGTCCGTATAGAAGCCGTCCGCCAGCTCGTCTTCGGAATCGTCGTCTTCTTGCGGGACAGGTTGGTGCGTCCGTCGCCCGCGCAGCTGTCCAGTGTATTTGACCGCCCCTTTGACACTTTTAAACATAGAGCCTCCTCCCTTCTCATTCTGGGGTTGACCGGTCGCAAGCGTGCTGAGGTACGAAGGAGGAACTGGCCTGATCTGCAGCTGCGAAAGGATGTGCGCCAACAGCTTACGCGACTCATTGCGCGCCCTGTTTAATCCTGGGTTGCTGCCGGCTGCTTGAGGTCTTGAGATTTCGGAGGACTTCCGTTCGGTGTCGCCAGAGATGCGGAAGGAGGGCAGACCCACCGCTTGAGATATGCTTCGGGCACGGTCTCTTGTGTATGTTCCAAATGGAGATCTCGGAGAGCTTGGGGAGAGAGATGAAGAGTTGCCGACTACGTACGGGCTGGCCGAAGCGGTATCCACACGGAGGGTAGGAGTCGACATGAATGCGAGCTGTGCAGATGGCGTGTCGGTATGGAGGCAGTCAAGCGTAGATGAAATCAAGCAAAGAGTGTCGTGTTCAAGCTCCGAGCATATTTGCGACTTGGCGAAACCAGGAGATCGAGAGACAGCGGTCCCGACACAGGTTGGCACGCCCGACAAAGAAGTGATCGCGCAAATCACGTGATGGAATCGCCAAACGCGTCCAGGCGGCAGAGCGACACGACGTGCGTCTACTGCTCCTAGCTAGTGTTGCGATAGCTCGGCTCGGCTCGGCTGGCTGCGCCAGCCGGGTCATTTGGCTGTCAGCCGGGCTGGGAAAATCGGCTCAGAACGAGCCTCCCACGAGGGGAGAGCTTGACGCCAGCAGCCAGAATTACTGATGGCTGAGCCGCTGGAAGAGCCGATCTTGGGCGCCTCCTCCCAGAACAGAAGATCGGCTCTTCCAGCATTCCAGCTCAGTCGCTAGGCACCTAGAGAAGGGGATAGATGCGGACTTTCTTGTGAGTATGTTCCTGTATAACGAGCCCACAGAACGTAGGATTGGTAAGGGAAATAAATTTATTAGTACACTACTACATGCTGGCAATACCGGGGCAGGTGGAACTTGGAAGCAGAAGATGGGAGGCGGGGCGGCAGACCACAGCGGGCAGAGCAGCACGTGCTTGCCCAATAGTGCGCAACAAGGGGACGGGGAAGCTGCGCAGCGCGACGCGGTACTCCGCCCTCGTGAGTCGAATGAGCGCGCGAAGCGCGGGTAGGACATGCTCGCGCAAACGAGCGATACGTGCGCAAGAGCGGAGGAGGGCTAGACGAAGGAGAGTGAGGTGGAGGCGGAGGGTGGGGAGAGAACGCGCCGTGCCGAGCCTGCGCGAGTCGGACGCGCACGCAGAGCACGACGTGCTTGCGCAAACGAGCACGATGTGCGCCAGAGGAAAAGAGGGCGAGGTGGAGGGCGACGCAGACTCCAAAGGGCCGCAACGAGGTGGAGGTGGAGGCGGAGGGCGATGCGGAGGGCCGCGACGTGGAGGAGGGCAACGTGGAGGTGGAGATGGGCGACGCGGAGACGGAGGACTCAGAGGAGGTGGTGGTGGGGGACGCAGAGGCCGGGGACGCGGAGGCGGAGGACGGCGAGTGTGAGGGCTCGCGAGATGACGCAGAGGGCCGGGTATCTACATAAGGCGGAGAAGATGGTGGGTGAGGCGGGGGCGGGCGAGGCGAACACGGGCAACACGGGGGAGGGCAGCGCGGGCGGAGGAGGTGGGCGACGTGGGCAGAGTCGGAGGCGGGCAGCGCGAAGGTGGGCGATACAAACGGAGGGTAGCGCGGTAGTAGCCGAGACGGAAGTGGACGACGCAGAGGCGAAGGAGGGCCGATACGCGCAGCGCGCAGGCGGAGGTGGGAAATACGGAGGAGGTGGACGACGCGCGCGGAGGTGGGCGACGTGGTTGAGGGCGATGGCAGCTCGGATGGGTGAAGCGGGAGGGGAGAGCAGGTGGGCATCGGGAGTGCAGACTCACCAGAACAAGGGCCGCGGTACATCACCGCGGCCCCCATATCCTAATCTCCATGCTGAGGACGTCCGGAAGGACGTCCTCGTGCGGTGTGGATGCAGCTGGCAAGGTGGGTGAAGGCCGGCATCAAGGTCGAGGTCGAGGTTGACAATATTGGGCGAGCCGTTAAATTGTTAATAGTTGTGTCCCTTATAAGTCATAGCTTGTATAAGTAACTTGTAACTTGTAGCTAGTAGGCGCCCCACCTGATCGGACTCGACGTCAGATCTGAGATCTGAGGCCCAACTCGAGTTTTGCCTGCAATTTGGGTGTTTGGTCGACCATGCCCAATCGTCCTGCTGACAATCTTAAAACATTCTGTGTATCATGGGCGCATATAAAAAGCAGTCCTGCCATTCTCCTGTTCCTCTTTTCCACTATGAAACACGAATCTTTCTTTTGCCACCAGTGTCATTTGAAGAAAGCGGCTCCTGACGGCTCCGGCGGCTTGGGCCTCGGCTTTGGTAATATAGCCCAAATCAGAGCCGTGGCTCCGGTTTTGGCTTTCTCGCAGCCGTCCGGAGCCGAACCAAGCCGAGCCAAGCCGAGCCATCGCAACACTATCCCTAGCTACTTATTGCCCTACTCTCATCTCTCTCTCGCGGATTTGTGAATCACTACTCCTGCTGTGCACGTCATGCCTCGCCACGGAAGCACGGCCGACACGCAGAAGCAGCGGACACAGGCGAAGCTTGACGCCTTCCTCTCCAGCTCCCCGCCTGCACCCAGCCCTCGACGCAACCCTTCCCCTACCCGAAAGCCGAGAACACGGGTCGCTCAGTCGAAGGTTCAGGCGCCGGCGAAACGGAAGACTGCGAGACGCACCGCGAAAGCAGCTTCCCCCGGCCCTTCACGAATCCCCCTTGACGAAGAGAGCAGCCAAAGCAGCGACGCAGGCGTGATTCGCTTTGAGCCCGGGATCATCGAGGTATCCGACAGCAGCGAAGAACAAGGCGCGAACCCATCTCCTGCCAAGTCATCTGGTAGTCATGGCAAGAAACGTTCGAGGATGGTGTTTAGTGATGACGATGATGAAGGTGCTGCCGCGAAGACCGAACGAAGGCTGGTCAAGAGGGCGAGTTCTCCCGTGCTTGTAGCCTCGGACGAAGAGGAGGACCCACGTCCCAGAAAGCGAGGGAAGCTTACGAAGGAGCGTCCGCAAAGCCCAGAGGACTTGATGGACGAGGTAGATGAGAAGAGTACGTCGGATGGATTGCTTTGGTGACAACAAAGTTCAATATTCCTTAGGAATCATCACATCCCGTTTCAGGAAGCGCGATAAACGTTCTACCTTCCAGAAGACCTTGGAGAAGCTGAAGCGTAGGTGGAAAAGCTTTTGCAGCTTGCGCAAAGTGCTTAAACTCGTGTCGTACACAGGCAAGAAGCGTGGCGAAGCAACCGAGTCCTCGGCGTCTGAAGAGGAAGAAGAGGATCAGTACGACGACGCACCGTTTCCTCATGCTCACCCGGACGCCAACGGCGACGAAGATGAAGACGAAGATGAGGGTGAATCTTCTCGTGGAGACGAATTCGATGATTCGTTCATCGTGGAGGATGACACAAGTCAGTTGGTGGAGCTGCCCCCGGAGTTCAGCATGGGAAGTTACCAAGACCTGCTGCACCACTTCAAGATTGTGTGCCAAATGTTCGTACATATAGCCGTTCATGAAGAAGAAGAACGAGAGCAAATCGCGTTGGAGCTGCAGCGCCGTATGTTTCTTTCGTGTTCGTGCCTCATACCAGTCTATGACAATGTGATAGAACAATACTTTTCCGTCCCACTCAAGATCACACGCAGGAAGCTTGAAGGCATGCGAGACTCCATCGTGGCAGGTTCTACCTGGAAGCCCTGGTTCCGGAAGGCCTTGAACAGATATCCGGACTACGAAGAGCAGTTCCTCGATTTCACAGTCCCTGGTTGCGACGCATGCCATCTTGGTTCCCGTAAATCGACCAAACAAGGGAGGCTCAGCGGACTGCCTTACGAATCTCTGACATATCAGGTTTGTCCATTTGGCGTTTCGCAGTGGTCCGAGTTGCTGAGTGAGATTGCTCAGTCTTTTCCCGAGGAAGTGACAGACAGCAGCGAGGAGGAAGGATCTGAGGAATCGAGCAAGAAGAAGGAGTTCGTTTTCGGACGTTTCTGTGCGAAGCGGACTCGGACGTACCATCGGTTCACCCATTGGGAGGTATAACTACTCGTTCAAGTCCTTAGTGCATGAGTCGCTCACCAGCCATCTTAGTATCATCTCTTCCATGCATTGCGCGAGGAGGTCGACTCCTTGAAAGCCTCTCAAGCAGACCGGAGTTTTGTGAAGGTCGCGTACGCGAAAGGCAAGCAGCCTCCGCGGGACCTGAAGGACGCGGACGCGATCATGGACTGGTTGGACGAGCGCCAGGTGATCAACTTCCAATGGCAGGAGCTCAAGACCATGATGAACGATGCGCACAACTTGGAGGTCAGGGGCAAGAAGGGCGACGACTCCGATTAATTGTTCGCGGTGGAGGTTTATTTGTAAGATAGCGCATACTAGGGGCCTAGCGCTTGGCTTATGCAGTCCCATGATCAATGTACTTCACATCACACTGTGTGAGTATCATCGAGATATGTATAAAGGTATGCTACAGAGACAATGCATCGAGTGCGTTCTAAAAGACAAGCGGTTCACCACAAAGCATTCAAGGGTCCCTATACAAGTTGCGATCCTGAGGACCTTGTCCCAATCAGTGACACAGCCGAGGCAGTTGTGCGAGCCTTGCAGCGTCGAATACGGCTACCATCGCGTCAAACGCAAGCAGCGCTTCCGAGACCGTGGGCCGGTGTTCATGCGTTGGCCGGAGGAGAGGCCTGACGAAAGCACGCAACTCGGGGACCTCGTACCCGGTGAGCTGGAGCGGGGGCGGATGGCTATGAATAGGGTGTCTTATATAGCTACACGGCGTTCTCACGGCCGCCAAAGCACGAGGGGAGCTGGGAAGCGGGAGAGGTGGGGACTCACATCCATTGCGCGCAGGATGAGCACGCCAAGTCCGTAGACGTCCACCTTGTATGGATCGCTCGACTCGCCACGCTCGAGTTCCGGGGGGCATTCCGTTCGCCGGCACCCCGCAACGCGTGGGTTTGGACCACGCCAGGTAGAACGGGGAAACGATGGGAGAGCTCGTAATCTGACACAGCGTAGTGGCCTCGGCAGTCGGTGAGAACGTTGCGGATGGAGATGTCCAGGTGGGCGATGCGCTGGGAATGCATGAATGCAATGTGCTAAAACAGGGCAGGAAGGGGTGTTTTGGGAGTGACCCGATCAGCGGGGCAAACATCAAGCATTCGCACCGACACGGACCTCAATGCACTGTCGCAAGGCATGGAAGAACCGGCCGAGGTTGCATGGCGTTGTGGTTAACTGGGGGCACCACTCCTCCATGACGATGAACGCGAGCTTGTCCTGTGGGACGTCCACGAGAGCAAGGACAGCTACAGTGCCCGTGTGAGCATGGTCGCATGACGACGGAAGGGAGGTGACGAACGAATGCAATGGTTCATCGGGTGGTTCCGCACAGCCGGGCTTGACAGGTAGCGGATGACGTCGAGCTCACGACTACGTATATGTACTGCTTTGATGACTACTTTAGCACCAGTTGCACATTGTGTGCCGCGGAAGAGACGATCGGGCTAGACAGTGGAGCAAATTAGATCGGCGACCAGGGACCCACGAAAAGGAAAAGAGAGCAAGGCGGCTCACCAGGCCGGCGTCTTGGCAAAGCTCGTCTTCGTTGGGGGCGCGGCAGGCTCGGATATAGCCAGGGAGGTCTTTGGTCACAGTGCGGCCTTCGGAGGCCTGAGCGGCCCAGTAGTCGTGATAAGACTGCTTGACGTCCTTGCAGGTCTCGAGGCGGAAGCCATGGCCTTCGAGCAGACAGCGGTAGGCATACCAGCGGGGAGCCAAGCGGGCGTTCGTGGCGTCATCGTCGTCCTCGGAGGAGGCGGTCTCGGAGGCGGCATCGTCCGAGTCGTCCTCGAGATCCGTGCGGACTTGGCGAGTGAGTGGGTGACGATGGGCGCGGGCGCTGGGGCGGTGGCAGGAGGCCGGTTCTGCCATAGGCTGCTGCGTCACACATGCAGGCGTCGCGTACGGGTGGGAGAGGAGATCAGAGGACGGGGCAGGGGGGTCTTATGTCGGGCATGCTGGGAGGGCAGGCGAGTCGAGGGGAATATTGTGCTGTAAATGGGAAGAAAGCGATGCGGATGACCGCCCAGGCCGGCTAGTCGGGGTATCAGCGTGCATGAAAACCGAGGGAAGCGGGCGGAGGAAGAGGCGAGAGGAGGGGTGACAGATGGGGAGACGAACGAAGATGGCAGGTGGGTTGCGCGACCATCGCAGGAGCAGGTGCTGGGGACGGGCGTGCGGGATTGGATTGGATTGATGGACGGCAGAGCACGAAGGAAAGACCGGATAAGGCGCAGCGGGCGGCCATGCAGCGCACGAGAAGACGGGCTGGCGACGAAGTAAGAGAGGAGACCTGCTTCGAGCGCGGCCGCTCACACCAGAGACGGGGCGTTGAGCAGAGAGCGAGAGCGGGGTTGCCCAGCGCGGTTAGCGCTTCCCATCGTCAGCGGCCACACCGCCGTAGTGCACAGACGCCCACGCCCAGCGCCCGTGGGAACCTCGGCAGGCCTGCGTCTTGCCATGTGCAATTCAGTGGCTGACCCCGCGCCCGCGCCATGGAGGAAGGCACAAAGTCCAAGAAAACCGTCTTCGTCGGCGGAATCGGCGACGACGTCGACGAAAACGCCATTCTCGCCCACTTCGCCCCCTTCGGTCCGTCCCTGCTCTCCGCACTCGGTCCACTGCTCACCTCCCATCTTTCTTTCCAGGTGATGTGATCGAGGTACAGCTGCCGCTTGCCCCGACCAACCCTTCCCATCCGAACGGTGAGCGGTCTGCATGGTGCCGCCATGTGCATCTCGGTGCTCTAACTTTGCTTTCTTCGCGCCTGCAGAAACAAAGCACCGAGGTTTCGCGTTCGTGACGTACTCCTCACCTGCCGACGCCCAGGATGCTATCGACAACATGGACCTC